ATTTGAATCTTTGTTCATATTGGAAGTAAGTTTTTTTATTCTTGATTTTATTCTCACATTGCAAAACATATATGCAACCCTGGGCCTCTTTGCTTACTGCAGTACTTCACAACATTATCGTTCTTTGAATGTTGTGGACTTCAATTACAGAAACACAAAAAACTATACTGAATGGCAGAAACCACATCACTTAAGGATTTTCAACAGCAGCAACTATTAAAAAGGATAGCACATGTAAACTTAAAGAGAAAATAATGATGTAATCAAGATGTTGACATTCCATACACAAGTAGAACTCTTATATACAATCCATTGCTAAAGTTTCTAGAAAAATGGTTGGTTTCTTGTACCAGTCCTCTATAAGAGCCAGATCAGACAGAAATGGAATACTGCCACCATATATGGGCAGGAACAACCCAATCTTGATAGAGTCTAAATATGCTTTTGTTAGTGCCAAATAATTTTCCACCCTACAACCACTTTCTCTAAGGTGAGGAATTACAAACCTCTCACTGTTCTATCGTTTTTTCCTTTGAAAGTGATCAGACAAACTACATTCCTTAGTTTCACCAGTTCCGACCTTCATGGCTAAAACCCATCATGCCATGCCCATTGTGGCAAACCATCCCCATTCTCTTCATGTTCGTGAGATATAAGTTCTGCAAGCAACTTCGTCCCACAAACCTCTGCTCTGGGAAACTGACTCTCAAGAGCATGATTCCCTGATCACTACAATCTTAACGTGTTCATGTATAGGGTTATATTCCCTACATACACATTTGGTTAAAAATCTTAAGACCAGATACAAAAGGGTTAAAAAAAAGTATAAAATACTGTTACTTTAATCCATATAAATTTGTGAAACATTTACATTTAATTAGAAAATGTATTTTATCAACAAAAAAGTGAACATTTTAAGCTTTTAATTGATTAATTTAAACAAATATTGAAAAAAAGGATTTTTTTTGGTTGGTCATAAATATAAGACCATGTAAATAAAAATAGCAAATACAGAACAAATAAGTCACAATAACAATTTACTTCTCAATATATCATCCATTTTTGCAAATTACTTTGAAAATTTGCTTTGGCATACTCGTTATTAACTCCTGCATGAGGGTGCTTGGGATGCTCACCCAGGATGCATAAACTGCAGCACGAAGAGCATCCACAGTTTCAAATTGCAAACTTTTCAGAAACCCCTTATTCATATATATATATATATATATGCTCTATCTCTGATATTGAGCACTTTATTCCATAAATATAGCACACCTTAAAACTATATTTCTTTATATACAAACCTGTTCAAGTCAAGGGTTATATTCCCTACATATCCACATAGACTGTGCATCTCACTCTGGAACTCTCTAGCTCAAGTGGTTCTCAGGCCTTATAAAAATTGAAAGTTATTGTAAAAAAAAAGACATTTCAAATAAAAGATGAAAAAGAAAAACCCAACAATACTGGAAAAAGCAATAACATGCTGGATGGCAGAACAAGGTTTAGGAGAGATAGCAAAAAAATAAAATTTATTAAGAGCTACAAAGGCGAGGAAATTGTGGAGAGCAATGATCGCCAACGTCCTGAAGCCACACAGCTCATAGAAGCAGAATGGGCTTGCGTAAATGGATGGCAGAACAAAGTTTAAGAGAGATAGCAAAAAGACAAAATTTATTAAGAGCTACAAAGGCCAGGAAATTGTGGAGAGCCATGATCACCTTCATTCTGAAGGGACATGGCACACAGATGTAGTAGTAGACACTTGTCTACATCCACCTTTTGCATGATTTAAATGATTTAATATCTTTGTAATTCTTTTACTAAGTAAAAATGGGTATTTATACAGTACTGATAGCGGTCTTTCATAAAAATTAATTTGCAGAAATCACACATTTGAAAAGAAGAGGATAACTTTTTACTTTTGAAACTTCTACCTAATTATGGAGGCATGGTGGAGTAATGGATAGTGGCTCAAATTGAGGAATTGGAGAGTTGAGTTTGAATTCCAGTTTTTCCCTAATGAACAGTTAAAACAAGGTCAGGGAAGTTGTTGCGGGATACTAGTATATTTGGGTAGAAATATAAGTTATCATTATGTTGCACATATCATCTCTTTGATTGTGAGAAGTATAGACATTTTATATTAAATATTTATGAGTTACTAGAACAGTTATCCCACAAACAATATTGGAGAACACATGTGAGTCCAGATAAAAATAAGACGTACAAAATAATAACTATAAAACAAGGAACAATGCATGTTATTATCAAAAGGAATTCCATGTGTAGACAATTGTATGGAAGGTAAAAATATTAAAACTAGCTACAAGAAGAATGTACTTGTTTGTTTGTAACAGACATGCATGCACATGTGTGTGTGGGAGAGTTTGAAGTCAACAGTGGACCAAGGAAGCAAACATGCCCTGTCAGGAGTGTTCTTATTCTATGTTTGACTACATTTTGAAGCAAGAATTAAAAAGAGGAAGAAAGAAATTATGATTGCCTTTTTATAGTCTTAAAGAGCACCCCCTAACAGGTGTTTTTGGCAAAGCCAAGTGGGATAACCCAGTGTGTGATCAGCTGCCAGACTCTCCTCATCTAGAGTTTTACAGGTGCAATTGCAACCTTCATCTGTCTCCGTCTTCTCCTCAAATGCTAGCTTTGTTGAGTAGCACCGACCTTACAGACCATCCTGTTTTTTCCCTCCTCAGATGGGGCTAATGTATGTTGTCTTACTAGTGTTGATTCAGATTTCCCAAAATCTTACAATATTGGATTGACTACCACAATTAAGAAATGAGGAATTCTTCACTTAAAGCCATGGTAATTTGTTTCTTTGCATCTGATTTGGTTTGGTTTGGTTTACAGCACATCAACCTCAATGGGTTACTTAATGCCAAAAAAATTTTCATTATTGGTAATATTTTTTATTTATCTAAGTATATATTGTTTTGTTTTGTTTTACAGCATATCAACCTCAATGGGTTATTTAATGCTGACAAAATTTTCATTGTTGGTAATATTTTTTTTCCAAAAATCTATTACTGGTAATATTTTTTCCTTTAAAAATCTATTTCTGGTAAGAATTTTCCTTCACTGGTAATATTTTTTTTCAATAAATGTATTGTTGGTAATAATTTTTTTACAAAGTATTTCTGGTATTTAAACCTATTTTTAAACTTTAATAGTGTTTTGACTCCAGCTTAGGGGTTAATTATTTGGCCATAGCTGGGAACCTGACAGGTGATACCTCTCCAGGTTATGGTAGACCTGGGAACACCAGCAATTAAGAGTTGGTTCCACACTCCTAAAAACCTCCTGATCAGAGGCCTTGCTGTTGTATGTAGTTTATTGTCTTACCAGGACGGTTCTTTGCATCTGAAAATCAATGTTTGGAATCAGAGCTCAAATAAAAACACACTCAATAAATTTTTTAATTAGTTTCAAGGCAGAAAGGTCACTAAGACACAAGGAGTTAGTGGGTGTGGAAGGATTAGGAACAGAAATATCTCTATCTATAAAAGGCAGGATGTGTGTGTGTGTGTAACGGATGCATGGCAGCAATTTTTGACAGATTTGCACCAAAATTTATATGTACATGCTCCAAGTTAGCAGGAAGGCCTAGACCAACTTTGCATTTCCCAACTCCCATCGATAGTGGAAATTATCAATTTTTTCATGCTTCTATGGCAGTTTTCATGTAGTTTGCGGCCATTTTGTACTGGCCAGAGTGAGAGCATATAGCTGGCTGCCATGAATAGGCAGAAAGATTCTATTGTCCAGTGTGAGAGCCAACAGCTGACTGAGACGAATGTTAACTAGCATGCTAGCATGCAACAAAGAATCGATAGCTGCATTTGTCACAAGTGGGAAACATTTAAATCTGCATGGCACTTTACTCCAATTGGCTCATTCGCTTGCTTAAACTCAATGTTGATTCTGATTCTGCAGAACTGGGTTGGGTGTGAAAAAGTATTTGTTGTTAACATTCTTTTTTCATTCGGTTTTTCCAGTTACGAGTCCTTTTTTTAAAGCTGATCATTTTGTGTTCATTTTGTTTAGTTCTTTTTTTGTAACAGATTTAATGTTTAGTATAGAGCTTAGAAAAAAGTAAGGCATGTAGCAACATCAGCATGGCTAAGGGCACTCCTGTAAAGGCAAGGAAGGGCAAAAATATTTTAAGTCAATTGATTGCTGTCTGAGTCGTACAATTTTTGAATCAAGCATGGGCAATGCCAGGTCATGCTGCTAGTTAATAATAGATAGGAAGCAAAAAGAGTAATCTGGAGGATAGTAGATAGTGATGAACAGCATATTTAAATTTTTGAACATGGCTGGAAAGCATAGAACCAGAAGAGAGTTCCACAAGTGAGAAGTGCGAGAAAAGAAACTGTTAGCATAGAATTTAGTTACATCTAGCCAGCCCAACTGTAAATTGATGAGATTTCGACATTCAGTCTAGTACTGCACTTAAATCCCAAAAGTATAGGTACCATAGCAAAGAATTCATCTGGACAGTTACCATGAAAGTATTTATAGAAAAGGTACAGAGAGGCAACCTTATAGTGGAAAAGTGACTGAAGCTATGCTGCCAGATCAGGACTAATAGTATTGCTGATTCTTCTTTGAGTTTTATCAAGGAGCTCAAGGTAAATATCAGGGGTACCAGACCATACATTTATTGAATATAAAAAAACTGGTGAATAAAATGAATCTATTATCAACAGTAGAACTATGTCTATCCTTTGCTGGATGGGGGAATTAAGAATTTAGCAGTAATTGTTAAACCAATGACCAGCCAGTAGACTGTCACTCAATTCTTGACTTACAGCCACATCAGCTTAAAACACTGGTTTCTGTATGGTCACCAAAGTTAAGCAACATCAAGCCTGGTCAGTAACTAGATGAGTGACCACTTGGGAATACCAAGTGCTGTAAACTTGGATGTGTGGGTGATGTAATGGATAATGGCTTGGAATTGTTAATCAGATAGCTGAGTTCTCATACGATCACTGAAGTTAAGCAATGTTGAGTCTCGTTAGTAACTTGATGGGTGACCTCTTGGGAATACCAGTTGCTGTAAGCTTGGATGTGCTGATGGTGTAATGGATAATGGCTTGGAATAGTTAATTGGAGAGCCGAGTTCTCATATGATCACTGAAGTTAAGCAACATCAAGCCTGGTCAGTAACTAGATGGGTGACCTCTTGGGAATACCATTTGCTGTAAGCTTGGATGTGTGGGTGATGTAATGGATAATGACTTGGAATTGTTAATCGGAGAGCCAAGTTCCAATTTCAGTTGGGTTTGCTATATTCACTTAGACATAAATAGCCTTGAGTGAGGTATGAATCAACCTCTTCTCCCTCCCAGCTATGGGTTAATTAGTAAGACTTGTAATTCTAAAATTATTAGTATCTCAAAAAGCAAAAAAATTGCATACAAAATATTTGGATTTTTGTATCAAATAACCCATAGAGCTGTTGATATGCTGTTAAACAAAAACAACCAACCAATCACTTAATTCTTCTTTCATGCCTGTGTTTGTGTGTTTGCTCCAGCCACAAATTCAGATATATTTTTGTGAGGTGACCGCTATCTTAGAATACAATCCCCAAAATCTCTGATGACTGTGTTGTTGGGCCCAACTCTCTTTGTGTATCTGGGGCCTTGTGAACTTTGTTTTTCCCTGCTGAAATTTGACATTCACATAACTAATTTCTCCACTAATCTTAGGGAATGATTTAATTAAACATATGACTCTTTTTGTTGAAAAATTTTTGGTTCTCTCTTTCTGCAAGGAGAATAATGTTTTGGGCAGACAGTATCAATATAAACAAACCCCAAATTTGGTACTTAGGTATATCTCAAATAGCCTGCTTTTGTTTAAGAGAATTTGCCTCACTCTTTTCTGTAAGAATATAAATGTTTTGGATGGAGAGCATTAATGTAAACAAACCCTGAATTTAATTTTTCAGGACCAAAAAATTTGGACAACTCATTGTCTTTTTATTGGCAGGAAGTAGATAGTTTGGGGAAAACTTTGGCTTTGCTTAATTTTACTGAATCTAAGCTAGTTATTTCTGGGTTTGATTCTCTTTAGAACTGTTCTTAAATTAATTTCATTGTTTAAAACATAATTATTAGCTCTTTTTTCCACTTTCCTCTCAACCATTAATATCTGCTCTTCTGAGAATTTTAATAATTATTATCCAATTAGTTATCTCTCCAGATCACCATCCATTGATTACATGCAATTAAACAGTTCAACAGGATCAGTGCCCTGTTACACAAGCATATACCATTGAATCATCAACATAGATATTCAGAAATGAGTATATGCATAGCCATGAAGCCTGCAGTTGAATAAAATGTAATGTTAATTATGAAAGATTTAAGATTTGTACAATGACATCATTAGAGGATTATTAGCACACCAACATTATTATTAGAGTGTAAATAATATAATTCCTACTTGCTAGGTTGCTTAATTGGGATACAATTAAATGCCAAGCAATATTAAATTTTTAATTTTGCTCCTTATGACATTTTGGGCTACTTTTAACATAACCAGGGCTAATTGAAGCTGCTAATAAGAAGAAAATTCAAGTCAAAATCTATCCACAGCAGGCTTTCAAATATAGTTCAATTTGGTGATCCTGCATCGTGTATTTCTCATGGCTTGATAGGATCAGTGTCCTAATCCAGTTAAAAGCCAGTATTTCAAATAGTAAGATTCTAGGTAATCAGTGCCCCCACAAAGAATGATATTACATAGTTTGCCTACTCCCATTTCCCCCTCTGACCATTTAACTCTGTAATTTATATATATATATAAATTATACCTTTAAATTCTTTGAGGAACATAGGGTCGCAAGATATCTTTTGCAGTTTCTATAACAAGCCAGTTTTTTTTTTAAGTGAGTAGGTTGTTAGCCTACTGCACAACTCCCAACCTGGAGGATCAGGTTTTGAATTCTGAGTTTTCCTTCTTCTAGACGAGTTGCCACTCAAGGCTACAGAACCTGGTCTGTCCTGCTATTTAGCCATAGCTGGGGGGACAAGAAGGGGATTCATACCTTTCCCAAGGGTATTAGTACATATGTGACTGTAATGGATTTGACTGGAATTTGAACTCTGCTCTCTGATTCCTCAATCTGAGCCACTATCCATTAATCCACTATGCCTCCTCATTTAATTCTGTAATGGATTAAGTAAAACTTAACAAATATCCAAAATAGTTGCTTCAGATCTTCTCAAAACTATAGTTAATATTAACAAGACTTAGCTATTTACTTTGTTAAACTGTGGTGTCTGGAATGAAAGGGACTTCAAATGTGGAAGATAACAAGGAGCCATGTTTAATGCTGAATTTCTCTATCCCACAGTTTCTATACCCCACTCTCTACCTCTGTATCCCTCTATCACTTTTCCCCTATCTATCCATATATATAGTCATCCACATGCAAGCCTGTTTCGCTGTATTACAGCTCATCTGTGTTACTTCAAGCTGGGATCGAAACTGATTTGGAATCAGTCGGAGATCCTACCCCTAAGCTATTGGCGCACAGCAGAGAAAGGGAAATTATAAAATATCATATACAAAACTATACAAACACCAGCATTCAGAGGGCTCAATTCATTAATGAAGAGTGGTGCATTAATAGCGGTGATGGCTACTGTTTTAGAATTACATTTTTCTTATATATATACCCAAGTATAGGATTGTGGTGTATATGAAATAAATTCCAATAATCAACAAATAATATTCTTAAAAGAGTGCTTAATACAGAGTAGAGCAAATATAATTATTTTCGAAAATTATAACATAAACATGTTATAATTTCACTACAAAAATAGCTATTTTGTCTCAACACTTTTGGTGTCTTATCAAGTGATGGTGTTGAATGTAGAATAAAGCTACATTTAACACATCACTTGATAAGACACCAGAACTGTTGAAACAAAATGGCTATTTTTGTAGTGACTTTATAACATATTTATGTTATAATTTCCGAATAAATAATTATATATATATATATATATATATATATATATATAGAGAGAGAGAGAGAGAGAGAGTTACAGACCAATTGCTGCAGCACCAAATTTGAAAAGAAAAGATAGGAAAACATCTGGTTGTCAAAGGAGGTGACCAAGGTATACTACTCCATAGTGGAAGGATTCTCTTACAAGTTCAAATACATGGATGAGGAGAAACAATTAACGATAATGAACTACAAACACCAATATTTGTTACAGCAAAATTGTCCAGATCCTGTAACAGCATAACTTTCCATCCTACATAATGTTTAGTATCTAAAAAAAACTCTAAACTAATGGAATTTCTTTTTCCTAGGTTTTCAGATAAGACAGCCATCTTGACACCGTTTGTCGTAAGAATCACTGAAAAACCTTTTAAGTTATTCAACTAGAAAGTGAACAGGTTAAAATTATTTTGTGTCAGCCCCACTGTCTTCCCAAATGAGCAATGGTGAGAGGAAAAAGGTCATTCAGGCCTTCAGTAATGGTACCAATGTTTATACTCTGTCTTCCATCTTCAAAGTTCATTCAAAAACCATCAAGAGAATGGTGAATAAGTTTAAAAAGGATGGAACAGTAGAGAGGAAAACTGGATCAGGAAGAGGGATCATCATTTCAACTTAGTCTTAAAGAGATCAATTAGAACAGATCCAACTTAATCCATAAGACATTTGTCATGTGAGAAAAGAGTTTCAGCTATGACAGTCAAAAGAGCAGTGAAAAGATATTTGAAAATGAAATTGTGTATGAAACCTGTGAAGCACCTTGTTACTCCAGGATGGAAAGTTAGAAGGTTAAAGAGGGTGAAAATTCTGGAATAATATATATATATATATATATATATATATATATATATATATATATAAACTTAATTTCAATCCTTCATGAGCTTCTGATCCTTAGCTATGATTAATTAATGATGAACATGTCATATTTGTTTATGATTGAATTCATCAGGATTCTTCTGTTGAGCTTGGAGAGTAATTATACATTCGTATTGCTGAGAGTAGAGTCCTAAAAACCTCAGAAAATTCCAGTAAGATACCTTTAATCATTTCTTAGATACAATGGTGCAAAGCTTAGTCTAATAAATAGACAATTTTGCTGTTACATGATTTGGATAATTTTGATGCTACTCTCAGAAAATAAATTAATAAGATTTAATCATAACAAGATGATACATGATAAGATTAATGCAAGATAGTGTGTGGAAAGATGTATGAGTTATAGGGATTTTCCAAGCATAGCTTAGATGTGGCACAAGGCCGAAAGCATGGGGCATCCAATGATGATCGAACTCACTTTTCAGTAGTAACTGACCTAGCAAGACAAGCTTGCTAACCATTACACCACGCTGAGGTGCCCTAATGATTTTCTAATCCCGGCTTAGATGTGGCACAAGGCTGAAAGCATGGGGCATCCAATGATGATCGAACTCACTTTTCAGTAGTAACTGACCTAGCAAGACAAGCTTGCTAACCATTACACCATGCTGAGGTGCCCTAATGATTTTCTAATCCCGGCTTAGATGTGGCACAAGGCTGAAAGCATGGGGCATCAAATGATGATCAAACTCACTTTTCAGTAGTAACTGACCTAGCAAGACAAGCTTGCTAACCATTACACCACGCTGAGGTAACACCACGCTAATGATTTTCTAATCCCAGCTTAGATGTGGCACAAGGCCGAAAGTATGGAGCACCCAGTGAGGATTGAACTCACTACTCAGTCGTAATTGATCTAGCAAGACAAGCTTGCTAACCATTACACCATGTCGAGGTGCCCAAAGATGTATGAGTTATATATCTGATATAAATAGTTAAATCCTGTAGTCATTCAGCTGAAATAAAATAGGGTTTTCTCTTTTCCCTATTCTCTCCCTTTCTTTTGTTTTATATTTCTCTTTTGTTCCTTTTACTTTCAGTTCAGTTTGTTTTGCCCATACAGTGATATCATTTGATATATCATTCTTTCTTCACTGTTATGTGTTTTGACCCCAAGAGTTAGTTCCTCTCTTTTTCACATATTCAGCAATGTAGAATTCATCATTCGTGTAGTAAGATACTGTATAAGTCTTAGCCTGCATCCAGTTGAGTGGGTCACACATTCCTGACTTAGGTGATTATCATGCTTAGTAATTCACTTGTGCATTTGACATATGCAGCACAGTGTGTTGAGTTGAATTGG